TGTGTGTGTGTATGTGTGTGTGTGTATGTGTGTGTGTGTGTGTGTGTGTGTGTGTGTGTGTGTATCACATCATCTTTATCCAGTTGTCTGTTGATGGATATTTAGGTTGCTTCCATATCTGGTCTATTGTAAATAATGCAACAATGAACAGAGGGATGCATGTATCTTTCTGAATTAGTATTTTTTATTTATTCAGATAAATACCCAGAAGTGGAACTGATGGGTCATAAGATAGTTCTGTTTTTACATTTTTTGAGGAACCGCCATACTTTTCCATAGTGGCTGCACCAATTTACATTCCCACCAACAGTTACACAAGGGTTCCCTTTCCCCCATATCCTCACCAACATTTGTTGTTTGTTGATTTATTGATGCTAGCCATTTTGACAGGTGTGAATTTCAAAGTTTTTAATCTTAAAGATATTCTGAAACTATTTGACAAGACTAGATTATATGAGTTATTCTACATTTATTATTGTGACCCTTTCATTGATGCATTTAATACTGCATTTTGCATAGTTTCTTGTACCTTTTTAGAAATTTCCTAATTCTTTGAATTTCTCTTATTCTCCAAGCTATTTATCTAAACGTATATGGAATCAATACAAAAGGCAGTTTTGTTAATTTTTATAATGCTTATTCTGCATGGTGACTTAGAAATCATGTTTGATTATCATTTAAGGTTTTGTATGTGAGAACATTTGGAAACATTCTTAGCAATTCTCATTTGTCATAATTAGGGTGAGGAACATGACAGATGGGCAGTGCATTTTGATTCTCAGTCCCAGCTGTCCTCTCGGTCAACATACAAACAACCAGACTACTTCTGTATCTCCCCGGACCCCCAGGAGCTGGCTGATGTCAGCAGTGTTTATACACCTACAACTGGAAGCCAGATTGAACCTTTAGAAGAGGAGTATATAGCAAAACCTGTAAGAGGTGCAGCAATCCCAAACAGTCAAAAAACAAAGTAAGTTTATACTTCAATATTTATTGATGTTTTAAAAAGTATGCTTTTTTAGGACTTATTATATTTATAGTATTTCAGTTGATATTCTATTTCAGGTTTGGTATTTTTCTGTAAAGTAGAAATGATTATAGATATATTCCAAACAAAAATGATTTAGTATCTTGTTAAATTCATATTTTGGTGGTTTTAAATAGCTAATGTATCTATCTTGCCAGCTTTCTCCGTTCTATGACTGCTCTCTTGGACCCAGCTCAAATTGAAGAACGAGACAGGCGGCGACAAAAACAGTTAGAACATCAGGTATTGCATTGTAAAGTACTGTTCTTTGCCTTATTTATGGCCAATAGATACCTAAGTAAATGGAAATTAAAAATTCATTTTAAACTTACAGCATTGGCCCTGTCCAATCCCTTGATCAATCTAATCCCTACTCCAACTGGCATTATATTAGGTTTATACTCATAGTATAGCTACCTGCTTTCCAGAAGGGAAGATTTTTAAAAATATGTTTTTATTGATGTTAGACACAGAGGAAGACAGAGGGGGAGGGAGAGAGAAACATCGATAGGCTGCCTCCTATATGTCTTCTACTGAGGATCAAGCCCGCAACCCGGGCATCTGCCTTTCCTGGGAATCAAACCAGTAACATCTTGGTATATGGGATGATGCTCAACCAACTGAACCATACTGGCTGGCAGAAGGGAAGAATTTTTTTTTAAGCAGGAGAAAAGCATATCGATAGATTTATTTATTTATTTATAATATATCTTTTATTGATGATACTATTACAGATATCTACCATTTTCCTCCTCCCAGCCCCTCCCCACACCCCCAGGTCTTCACTACTCTATTGCCTGTGTCCATGCATATCAATATCTATAAAAGGTTAATATGTTAGGTGTCCCTCTGGCTATGAAGTGTACCGACCACCAGGGGTAGACACTCAATGCAGGAGCTGCTGTGACGTGCACTGGTCATTTACAAAGAGACGGCACCACAGACCTGGTGCCGACAAAGTAATACTCGGCTTCCCCGAAGTGGGACACAGGCCCTGCCACCACCCTGGAGTGACAGCCCACCAAATCGCAGCCAATGCTGCCAAGACTCCATGGCACAAAATGCGGCCCACAGCCTGGAAACAGTGGCTGTGGGCACTGGGTAGTGACATAATGTAGCAACGCCCATCTTCCTCTCCCTAGTGACAGGCCATCTTACCTAATAGACAAACATGTAAATTGACCGTCCCTCCAATACGCTCACCAGCGAATCAGGAGAGTATGCAAATTAACCCAACAAAGATGGTGGTTAATTTGCATACACAGGTATGGAGCGAAGATTGCAGGCTCCGGCCAGAGCAGCAAAGACTGAAGGCTGAAGAGGCTTCGCTTCTTGGCTGCAGCTGGAACGAAGGCCTGGGTCCCGGGTGCCAGAGGAAAACTGGTGACAGCAGCCAGGGGAAGGAAGGCCTATTGCATGAATCTCTTCATGCAACGGGTCTCTAATTTAACAATAATCGGCACCATGGACCTGGCACCCACAAAGCAACACTTGGCTTCCCCCAAGTGGGACACAGCCCCACCACCACCTGGAGCGACACCCCACCAAATTGCAGCTGACTCTGCCAAGACCCGATGGTGCAAAATATGACCCCCAGCCCAGCTCAGCCGGGAAATAGCCGCTGTGGGCACCGGGTAATGACCTCATGTAGCAATGCCCAGCTTCTTATCCCTAGTGACTAGCCTCCTTGCAGTTTCTTCAGCCCAGGAACACGACTTGTATAATAGCCAGGTGGAAACATTTTACACTTTAATCAAATATCTGTGAAGCGTTTTCACATGTCTCATCTCATTTGATCCTCACAGAAGGCCTGGAGTAGGTAGATAGGAAACTCGGTGGAATCCTATTTTCATTAGCCAGAAAACGGAGATTTAGAAACTTGACCCAACTGAAAAGAAGTAAGAAATGGTGGACCTTGAAAATGACTTCAGGTTTTCTGACTGCGCAGAACATAGTCAAACACTGCTGCAGTTAAGTATTTTACTCTTTGTTCTCCCTGCGTGATCTACAATAATAATCTTTGTGTTGATATTTACTGCTGTGTTGCTAACAATTACCTGAAAGAGAAGTTGGGGTGCTTCACTGGGCTGGAAAAAGTTTAGCTAAATCAGAAAGCAGGTCTAATTAAGCAAGTTTATTTTATATATATAAGAGGCTTAGTTGACTCCCGCATGCATGATACAGACAAAGCTCTCACTGGCGCCAATCACACATGTGTTTCAATCTGTCATTTGTTGATCATGAATTTGGTTGACACTTATGTTATAAAGGGCAAATAGCGATATTAAAATATTCTAATTAATTTCCTTTTGATGTGCACAAATTCGTGCACTGGGCCACTAGTAAGTATATAAGTTCTTTGGTTTATCTCTTCTCTTTGGGTCTTATTTTGTTAATCAATTCATTTTGTTCATTAGATTCCACAAATAAGTGAGATCATGTGATATTTGCCTTTCTCAGATTGGCTTAATATTTTGAGAAGATTTTTAATATATAGATTGCATATATGAAATGGTACTAAATCTTAAGTTAATATTGGATATTTTTAGTTCTCCTGAATTCCGTCAGGATGAGAATTACTTTCTGTATATGGATAAACTTAATTGTTTTGGTGTTTGGTTTAGAAACACCAAAGCAAATGCATCCTGGGTTTTTTTAAGTTTGTGGCAGTGATTTATATGATTATTTATGTCTAGAAAGCCATCTCTGCTCAGGTAGAAGAAAAGCGTAGGAAGAAGCAGTTGCAAGAAGAGCAAAGAAAGAAGGAAGAACAAGAAGAGGAGCTTCGCTTAGCACGGGAACGAGAAGAGATGCAGAAACAGTATGAAGAAGACATACTTAAGCAAAAACAAAAGGAAGTAGGTATTTATATTCTAACTGTAATATTTTAGAGTAAAAGTGGATGTGTTCTTAAAGTAAAAATAACCGAAAGTTAAACATTTTCATTTCTTTTGAAATTGTGAAGCTTTATGGGGAAACATTAAAGATTTGCATAAAGAAAGTTATGAAAGTTAAGGAGCATTCTGGAGAAGGTTTTATTTCAAATGATTAGTGACTAGTTCACAAATGCTATATTGCTTGGGGTTTTTTCTCCATTAAGAAGGAAATCAAGATGAGTTGTTATAGCACAAAACAAAAATTATCCACGTGCTTGATCTTGAAATGTTTTCTAAGTGATTTTTAATATATTAATGTTCTAGAAATGTTAAGAAAATGATTGGCCTTTTTGTCTGTATTCTCTGGTGAATAGGAGCATATATATGTAGAGTGATTGACAGGGATTGATAATACAGTTTGTTGCTATGTTAGAGGTTTCCTCTGTGCTAATTAGGGCCTTTTAAAAAGACTAGATATCAAAAAAATAAATATGTGAAAATAAAAAGAGTAGATATCTGGTTGGCTTGGAGAATTGCTATATTAAATGGTACAGACAGTATAGGTGTGGTGGTGTCAAGCTGAGTTGACAAAGAGCAACTCACACATTGACATTAATTACCAAAGATTCTTGAGGTTTACAAAGTAGAACATAGAGCACTTTCTTTGGAGTAGGGAGGTGGGGCTGAAAGCCAACATTTCTTGCCTTTTGCACTTGCAACCTTCAAAATTAGTGAAGGGACACATGGTCTGGGTTCTGATTTCATTATGTTGAATAGACTGAGTCAACTACTATGAAATAGTTAACTATGTGTTGTTTTTTTCATATATAACTATATACATGAAAAAAATGAAAGTATCTTTTGCTTGAATTGCAATAAATGCCCATAAGATTTGTGTTTTACCTCTTAGTAATCTATTTTCAATCGTAATAGAATTCTGATGGAATTGACCATTGGTTTAGAAACTTTGAAAGCTTTATTAGTATAAATTGAATGTAAACTAGTTCTTATATTTGTGGTCTAACGAAGCTGTAGAAAAAGTTTAAACTTCTGGTCAAGATGTTGGAGTAGGTAAATGTGCTCATCTCCTCCCACGATTACATCCAAATTACAGCTAAACTGCAGAACAACTATCATTGATTATCACCTGAAGTCTAGCTGAACAGAAGTCTTATAACTAAGGATATACAGAAGAAGCCAGGTGGAGACTGGTAGGAAGCACAGAGATGTGGATCTGGCTGTTTCCACACCTGCATGTAGTGGTTAAAAACTGAGAGGGATGTCTCAGCTGCAGAGGTCCCCCTGAGGAGCGAGGAGTCCCAGTTCCGTAGCAGGCTCCCCAGCCCAGGGTTCCATTGCCGGGAAGAGAAGTCCCCCTTAACTTTGACTTCAAAACCAGTAGAGATTGTGGAGTAAGATGGAGGTGTCCTGGAGTGCACAGACTTGCTGACAGTCACTCACTCTGATCTTAAGCTCTGGGGCACAATTTGAAAAGCTCAGTGGACATATGGAGTAGAACTGAATTGTCTGGCTTCAGGCCAAGGGTTGTATGGTCAGCTTTCTCCTAGACTTAAGTGCTGGCAGAGCCATTGTTTCTTTGTTGTGCCCAACCCAAACCCAGCCTGCAGGCTTAAGCGATGCCAGATCTGACTATTCATCATTCTGGCTAATAGCAGTCATCCCATCTGTTGATTCCCTGATACCCTGCCCCACCCAACTTTTGGGCCCACCCAAGTTGCTTCCAGTGGCTTTTCCATACAAACAGCCTGTCTTAGCTCATGCCTCAGACAGTCTTGAAATCTCAAGGGTTCACAAACTCCAGATAAGTAACATCGGGCCTCAGTGTGTTCTGTATCTCTTGCTAGGCAGCCCCAACTCTGGCACTAGTGGCAGCTTGCCTCAGTTCACAGCTTACCTCTCCCACGTACCACCAAGCCCAGCATCAATGGCAACCATCTTCAGATCACTTTGTCTTATACCAAGTGGCCCCGGGCAGGGCATAGGCAGTAGCCTACCTTGGCTGCACCAGAGCCTCTCCTAAGATGCTCCAGAACAAATACACCCAGTGCCAGCTTCAGACCACACCAGAGTACCACCCAATCACCTCCACAAAGGATACACTGAAACGGTAGACTCTGCAGGCACCAGAGCCTTGATAAAATTAGGGTAAATCCCTGCACAAAGAGTTCCTGTGCTGTAAACAAGGCCCGCCTTCACAACCAGTCAGCCTGAGGGTCAGTTCCACAGAACACATAACCCACACATAGGACCAGGTAGATTGAGCCAGTCAGTACCATAGGACACCTATTACATAAGGCCACTGTACTAAGACTGGGAGACATAGCAGTTCTACATAATACATATAAATAAATGCAAGAAGGCAGGTAAATAAGGAGACTAAGAACCATGCCCCAAATGAAAGAACAGAACAAAACACCAGAAAACTAATTAAATAAAATAGAGACATACAGTCTACCAGATGTAGAGTTCAAAACACTGGTTATAAGGCTGATCAATGAAATTCAGGGAAGAATGAATAGTTAGATTATCTCAGTGAGAACTTCAACAAAGAGATAGGAAACATAAAAATGGAGATAGAAAATATAAAAAAAGAGCCAATCAGATGTGCAGAATACAATGACTGAAATGAAGAATATATTCAAGGGAATCAACAGTAGTTTAAATGAAGCAGAGATTTGGAAGATAAAGTAACAGAAAATCAGTCAGAACAGCAACAAGAAAAAAAATCCCCCAAAATGAGGCTACATTAAGGGGTCTCTGGGACTACTTCAATCATACTAACATTCTTAACACAGGAGTACTAGAAGGGGAAGAGAGAGCAAGGAACTGGAAATCTATTTAAAGAAATAATGATGGGAAATTTTCCTAAACTGGTGAAGAATATAGACATACAAGCCCAGGAAACACTGAGTCCTAAACAAGATGAACCCAAAGAGGACCACACCAAGACACATCATAATTAAAATGTCAAAGGTTAAAGACAAAGAGAATCTTAAAATCAGCAAGACAAAATCAGTTAATTACGTACAAAGGAGCTACCACAAACTGTCAGCTGATTTCTCAAGAAACCTGGTAGGCCAGAAGGGATTGGTATGAAATATTTAAAGTGATGAAAAGCAAGGACCTACAACGAAGATTACTTTATCTAGCAAAGCTATCATTTAGAATCAAAGGACAATTAAAGAGCTTGCCAGATGAGAAAAGGCTAAAGGCATTCATCATCAAACCAGTATTACAAGAAATGTTCAAGGGACATCGAACATTTGTAATTCAAAAGACAAAAACTAAAAATATAAAACATACCTACCAATAGTTACTTTAAATGAAAATCAATTAAATGCTTCAAATGAAAGAAATAGGGTGACTGAATGGATAAGAAAACAAGACCCATACATATACTATATACAGGAGACCCGCTTCAGCTAGGAAGACACAGACTGAAAATAAAGCAATGAAAAAAGATATTTCATGCACTGGAAACAGCAAAAAAACTGGAGTAGCAATATTTATATCAGACAAAATAGACTATAAAACAAAGGCTATAGCAAGAGACAAAGAAGGACCCAGCAATTCCACTTCTGGGTATTTATCTGAAGAAACCCCAAACACTGATTCATGAAGACATATATATCCCTATGCTCATTGCAACATTATTTACAGCAGCCAAGATATGGAATTAAACTAAGTGTTCATTAATAGACAAATGTGTAAAACAGGTGGTACATATGTACAATGGAATATTACTAAGTCACAAATAAAGAATGGAATCTTGCCATCTCCAACAACATGGAATTGATGTAGAGGGAATTATGCTAAATGAAGTGAGTGAGTTAGAGGAAGGTCAATACCATGATTTCACTTGCATGTGGAATCTAAAAACCAAAATAAACAACACATAGAGAGACTCATAGATAAAGAGATAATTTTGATGGTTTGGCAGATGGAGGGGAGGGTTAGGTGAGAAAGGGGAATGGTTTAAGATGTGCAAATTGCCAGTCATAAAAACAGTCATGGGGCGCCGAAACCGGTTTGGCTCAGTGGATAGAGCGTCGGCCTGCGGACTGAAAGGTCCCAGGTTCGATTCCGGTCAAGGGCATGTACATGGGTTGCGGGCACATCCCCAGTGGGGAGTGTGCAGGAGGCAGCTGATCGATGTTTCTCTCTCATCGATGTTTCTAACTATCTCTCTCCCTTCCTCTCTGTAAAAAAATCAATAAAATATATTTTTTAAAAAAAACAGTCATGGGGATGTAAAGTACAGCAGCGGGAATATGGTCAATAATAATGTAATGTCTATGTGGTGTCAGATGGGTAGGTACTACTAGACTTGTTGGTATGTTGTAAGTATATAAATGTCTAGTCACTATGTTGTACTCCTGAAAGTAATATAATATTGTATGTCAACTGTAATTGAAAAATAGCCTGGCCAGTGTGCCTTAATGGTTGAGCGTTGACCTATGAACCAGGAGGTCACGGTTCGATTCCTGGTCAGGGCATATGCCTGAGTTGTGGGCTCTATTCCCCATGGGGGTCATGCGGGAGGCGGCCAATCAGTGATTCTCTCTCACTGATGTTTCTAGCTCTCTTTCTCCCTTCCTTTCTGAAATCAATAATAATAATTAAAAAAAATTAAAATTGTATAAACCAACACCAAAAATGACAAAAACCCAATGGAAGAATGAGCAAAAGTCTGGAACAGGTACTTTACCACTTTACAGAAGAAAAACAGCCAGTGAATATTTAAAAAGTAGCTCAGTCCCATTTGTTATCAGTGAAATGTAAATTAAAACCACAATGAAATGCCATTTTATATCTACCAGAGTGGCTAAAATTAAAGACTGACTGCTTAAAAAAAAAAAAAGATATTAAAATGTAAGCTACCAAAGGGAAGGAATTTTCTCTGTTGACTCTTCTAGTATCTTGAATACAACTGGGTACATCGTAGGAGCTTAGAAAATATCTACTGAGAGAGAATATTCAAGTTTGTATGTGTTTCGTAATTTACTTAATACATTTTTTACTTTAATATTGATAGGAAATTATAACTGTCAAGACAAATGAACTCTTCCAGACAATGCAGAGAGCACAGGAGCTGGCACAGAGACTAAAACAAGAACAGAGAATCCGAGAATTGGCTCAAAAGGGACATGACACTTCTAGATTGATTAAAAATCTTGGCGGTAAATACTTAACTAGAATTTTATTTGTAATATTTTTTGAAGTTGATTTTAAATAATTGACTATTTTTAATACTTTATTTACAACTAATAATTAAATATTTTAAAAAGAATTTTAGACCTTGAACTAATGTATCTTTATAATACGTATTTTATTTGGGAAATTGTCTTAAGAGTACAACTAAATAATAATATACTTTTCATCTATGTTTTTTTATTTTTCTCAGAGTATGTAAAGTGAATATTTTGTACCTATTTTTATTGAGACATCTATTGAGTAGTCTCCCTATATTCAAGAAGGGATTAGAATGCAGGTAACTTTTTATAAGAAACATTAGGCTAGCCCTTCTAAATTATTTTGCATTGTTCATATGGATTAATTAAAGACTTGCGCATAGTTACTGCTACTCATAATTTCTATTAATATTCCTGGACTATTATGTTATCACAAAATTTATTTCTCTTCCATTTGATACAGTTCAAGTGGAATTTAATGAATCTACTAAGAACATTTCAAATTCAAGACATGGCTTGGATGAAGTCAGTGTTAAAATGAACACCTGTATCAATTCTACGAACTCTCCTAAGAAGGATACTGGTGTGCAAACAGGTATTTGTTTAGAAATTGTTATTTGGTTTAAATTTTACTTAAGATTAAAGTCATAATTGTAATTAAATTCAAGTAATTTAAAGTTTAATAATTTAAGGAATTCAAAGTTTTTGGTAAGTTAAAAAGGAAAAGGATCTCCTGGTTTTTCAGTTCTTTATAACAATTTTATTGAGATATAATCCCATAGTATAAAATGAAACCTTTTTATAAACTAGTGTTTTTTAAGGAGTACAGTTTTTGTATTGAGTTGTATAACCATCATCACAATGAATTTTAGAACATTTTTATCACTCTAAAAAGAAACCCAGTACCCATCAGCAGTCATACCATTTCCTCCCTCCTCTCCATGTCTAGGCAACCACTAATCTACTTTCTAGCTCTAGATTTGCCTATTCCAGACATTTCATATAATGGGAATCATACCTAATGTGTGGTCTTTTTGTGTCTGAATTTTTTTTTTCACTTTATCATAATGTTTTAAGGTTCATCCATGTTGTGTTATGGGTTAATACTTCATTTTCTTTTATTACTGAATAATATTCATTTTATGAATTTCCTACAATTTGTTTATTCCTTCATTAGTTGATGGGCATTTGGGTTACTTCTAATTTTGGCTATTCTGAGTATGCTGCTATGAACATTCATGTGCAAGTTATTATGTAGAGATATACTTGCAGGTGTCTTGGGAGAGATGAATAGCATTGCTAAGCCATATAGTAACTGTATGTTTAGCATTTTGAGGAACTATCAAACTGTTTTCCAGAATACTTGTACCATTTTATATTTCCACATCTGCAGTGTATGAGGGTTCCAATTACTCTATATTTTCGTTCACAATTATAATTGTGAACTAATGATATTGAGTAACTAATTATGTTGAGCATGTTTTTACATGCTCATTTAAAACTTCTACATAGTAATAAGGTAATATCCATGTTAGGTGGGTACCATTATCATAGGTCTTCATGCTTACATGAATTATTTCAGGCCTCTACCTATCTATCTCAAAAATCGTTTTTTCTGTTTTTAAAATAACTTTTTGCTCTCTTTACCTTTTTTTTCAATTGAGGTATTATTGACATGTATATTAGTTTCAGGTGTACAACATCATGATTTAAAAATTTTATATTTTTGAAATGATCACCACAAAAACATTTAGCACCATAGTTAAAACTTTTTCTTTTCATGAGATCTTTTAAGATTTATGCTTTTAGCAACTTGCAAATATTCAATATAGTATTTTTAATACAATTGACCATTGAACAACATGGGTTTGAATTGAACTGGTCTAGTTATATGTGGGTTTTTTCTAATTGACCTGTGTAGCTCCATTGATCCACACAGTTTCAAACCTGTGTTGTTCAAGGGTTACTCTGCTGCCAGAAATCTGAATATGCAGGACCAACTGAAGTTATATGTGTATTTTCAATTTTGCTGGAAGTTGATGCCTCTAACCTTCACACTGCTGAATGGTCAGCTGTAGTTACCATGATGTAAGTTATGTCTCCATGTCTTATTGTATAGCTGGTAGCTTGTTTGTTTTGACCTTTCTTTCACCCACTTCCTCTACCACACCAACTGTTCTCTATATCTATGCGTTTGTTTTTTTGTTTCCACATATAAGTAAGATTATTAGTATATGGTATTTGTCTTTCTCTGTCTGACTTATTTCACGTAGCATAATGTCCTCAGGGTCCATCCATGTTGACTCAAATATTAAGATTTCATTTTTTTATGGCAGAATAATATTCCATTGTGTGTATGAGTATTGTATGTATTCATACTAAATTTCCTCATTCATTCATTCATGGACACTTAAGTTGCTTCCCTATCTTAGCTATCTATATATATAACAGCCTAAGCAACTGAACAACCGGTTGACTGCAGCCACTTCCCCTCCTTAGACGCTCCATAAGGATGAAATAAAAGCGGCTGCCATATGGCTCCCAACAACCGGTGCTAAGGTCAGCGGGATGGATCCAAATCCCAGGCTGGCAGGGGTGTCCCACTGCCCATCCAGAGGGCCAGAGCTTCCCCAGATCAGGACTGACTGGGCGTGAGCTGCAGCAGGCACAGTGGGGCCAGGTTGAGCAGGAGCGGCAGGAGGCATTGGATTGTCAGTTTCATCCTGATCCTCACAGGCCATGCTGAAGGACCCCACCTGTGCATGAATTTGTGCACAGGGCCTCTATACTAATAAAACGGTAATATGCTAATTAGACCAAATGTCTTTTGGACGTCCTCCCTGACAAAGCCAGGGGTGTGGCTGGCCTGAAAACTGCCGAGGGTCACACCCCCCAGTGGGGACCCCCACCCTGATTGGAGTGGCCGACCTGCAAACCACCCCAGGCCCGTCGCTCCGGCCGGCCCCGCCCCCCAGCGGGAACCCCCACTCCAATTGGCATGGCCGGCCGGAAAACTACCTGTGGCTTCTCGCCCAGGCCAGACCCCGCCCCCAGCAGGGACCCCCACCCCAATCCAGGGCCCCCTTTAGGGGAGGCCAGCAGACCTCCACCCATGCACCAGGCCTCTGTACTAATAAAAGGGTAATATGCGAATCGACTGGGACACCTTCTGGACATCCTTCCAGACAAAGCCTGCAAAGTGATCCTAACGGCAGAATGACTGCTAGACCAGTCACTGTGCGGCGCCCTAACCATTTCTTGGTTGTTTTCCTGGCCGGCAGTCTCCAATTGCCTGATGGCCAGCCACCCACAGCAAGGGTGGGTCCAGCAAGCAGGCGGGAACAGCCAACCTCTCGGTTCCTTCCCCCAGCCGTCAGGCACAGATCACCCAATAGCAAAATTGGAACCGGGGACTGGTGGTGGTGGTGGGCGGAGGCGGCTGTGAGCAGCTTGGGAAGATGGCCCTGATAGGCCAGGCCTAGGAATCGTACCTGCACACAAATTTCATGTGCTGGGCCTCTAGTATATACTAGGTGTACAGGTTAATAATGAGGATTTTGTAACTAAAGAAAACATGATAATTTCAAGGGAAACATCAAAAGTGCTTTATTCAAAGTAATGTCTATCGCTAGCTACACATTTCCTCATCTTTCAGGTAATTTGTAGATACCGTCCCAATAGAACTTTTCTTGTTTTGAGGCAAACCATTCAGAGACCCAATTTTCCACTTCTTCAAATGTTTTAAAGTGCTGCTCAGAAAGTACATGTGCCATCAATCAGAACAAGTGGTAATCTAAAGGAGCAATATCTGGTATATACCGTAGGTGGGTTAACACTTCCTAGGCAAGATCTTTTAACGTATCTTTAACTGGTTTTGAAGTGTGTGATGGTGCGTCATCATGAAGCAAAATTACTTTGCCGTGTCTTCTGGAACATTCAGGTCGTTTAATCATCAAAGCATGGTTCAAATTGATTATTTGTTGTTGGTAGCAATCAGTATCAACAGTTTCACCTCATTTTAGAAGCTCATAATACACCACCCCTTCCTGATCCCACCAAACACAGAGCATTGTCTTCTCTCAGAAGCAGTTTGGCCTTGCAGTTGATGTTGATGGTTGACCTGGATCAACCCATGATTTTTGTGCATTTGGGATTCTCAAATCCCCTTTTCATCGCCAGTCACAATTCACTTTTGTGCCATTGAAGCAACATTTTACTGATGACTTCTCAGTTTTCCATTTGTCTTTCGTTCAGTTCATGTGGCACCCATTTTCTTTCCTTTAAAATCTTTCCCATTGTTTGTACACTATTGGAAATTGTTTGCTGAGCAACATTTAATCCTTCTGCAAGTTGTTTTTGAGTTTGACACAAATCTTCATTCAATAATGCTTGTCATTGTTAGTCTTCAAAATTTTTTGGTTTACCTGGACGTTCTTTGTCTTTCATATCGAAATCATCACTTTTAAAGTGTTTAAACCAGTGTTCACAGTATCTTGAGATGGAGCATGTTCACCTTAACCTTCCCGAAATATTCAGCAGCACTTCTCTTCAAAATAATGAATTAAAACTTCCCACAAATGCTCTTTTTTTGGCATGAAATTCGACATTTTTAAGTGTAAAAATATCTATGATGTTAACACCTTCAGCAAATTTTACATAAGTAGTTTTGAAGCTTGTTGTCAATACAACAAAATAGCATTCATATCAAACCGCATATATATCAACATATGTGTTACTACACCTAGTAAATAAAAGCCTGTGTGACCATTTGGTCACTATGACACACACTGACCACCAGGGGCAGATGCTCAACGCAGGAGCTGCCCCCTGGCAGTCAGTGTGCGCTCCCACAGTGCGAGAGCCACTCAGCTGACGGATGAGTGGCAGACGCTGGGCTCATAGCTGGCGAGCACAGCTGCGACAGCGTGAGCCTCTCCTGCCTCTGTGGCATTGTCCTACTGAGTGACAGCAGGCGCAGCAGGGCCGGGATGAGTGGAGCGTTATGGCGCCCGGCCTAGCCTTGGGTTCCTCCCTGGCTGCCTGCTGCTTCACGCACTACTACGTTGTTGGGGGATGGTAGACTGCTGGTTTCAGCCCGATCTCCACAGGCCCTGGAGATTGGACAGAAACCGGTAGTCCAACATCCCCTAAGGCAGTGGTTCTCAACCATCTGGCCCTTTAAATACAGTTCCTCATGTTGTGACCCAACCATAAAGTTTTCGTTCCTACTTCATAACTGTATTGTTGCTGCTGTTATGAATCGTAAGGTATATATCTGATATGCAGGATGGTCTTAGGCGACCCCTGTGAAAGGGTCGTTTGACCGCCAAAGGGGTCACGACCCACAGGTTGAGAACCGCTGCCTTAAGGGGTCCTGGATTCTAAGAGGGTGCAGGCCAGGCTGAGAGACCCCACCATTGCATGAATCTGTGCACCGGGCCTCTAGTCTTGAATAAAAGTGGCGAGAGTGAGCAAACTTTGTCTTGTTCCTGTCTTAGAATAAGCTTTCAACTTTTCAGCATTGCATATGTTACCTCTGTTATGTTGAGGTACATTTCCTCTCTACTCACTTTGAGAGTTTTTATTATAAACTAG